AGCACCAAGCCAAGCCAGCAGGTCCAGGCAGGGGCACAGGAAATCCCCTTTGGGGAGCCCCCTGATCCATGAACAGGGATGGGGCTTCTTCCTGGGCCACTCATGGGACATGGGGACACCATGACCAGGTGACGTGAGGGAGGTGCTCACTGTGGGCACAGAATCTAAGAGAGTGCCCTGCTTCACACCCATTAGGATGGCTGTTATCAAAACCCAGAAAGTAACAAGTGTTGGTGAGGATGTGAGAAATTGAAACCCTTGTGCTTTGCTGGTGGGAAGGTAAAATGGTGCAGCCGCTGTGGAAAACAGTATGGCGGGTCCTCAAAAAGTTAATCATAGAATTACCACATGATCCAGCAATTCCACTTCTGGGTGTATACCCCAAAGAACTGAGAGTGGGGCCTCAAACAGATGTTTGTACATCCACGTCCGTAGCAGCACTATTCACAATAGCCAAAAGGTGGAAACAACCCAGTGTCCATCGACAGACGAAAGAGGTAAACAGAATGTGATATATCCATGCAGGGGACTATTATTCAGGCTTCAAGAAGAATGAAATTTTGACAAATGTTACAACACGGATGAAGCTTGAAAAGGTCAATGCTGAGCAAAATAGGCCAGTCACAAAAGGACAAATACTGCATGATTTCTCTGAAATCAGGTATCTGGAGAAGTCATCTTCATAGAGACAAAGGACAGAGGTGACCGGGGGCAGCAGGCAGGGGGGAAGGGAGAGCTAGTGTTAATGGACACAGAGTTTCTGTTTGGGAAGACGAAAAAGTTCTGAGATGAACAGTGGTGATGGTTGTAAGATGGAACTGTACTTAATGCCCTTGAATTTTACGCTTAAATATATTTAAAACGTTACATTTTATATATATTTTACAATAATAAAAAAATTAAAGAGTGCCAAAAAACTCAGGAGTCAAGAGAAATCATATTTGAATGCCATATTTTCCTTCTGCCCCAGGTTCCCCCTGGTGCTAACAGTGACCAGCACTGATGTGTTGGTCACACACAGGTGTGGATTCTCACTCCTGTGGCAACCCTGCAAGGCAAGAAGTATTGTTCTCATTTCACAGATAAGTAAACTGAGGCTCCTTGGGGGTAAGTCGTTTGCCCAAGGTCAGTCCTGTGCCTTTGGCCTCTGCAAAGCTGCCTCCCAGATGCTCACAACTGTGGAAGAGGCGGCCATGGGCTCAGGCTGGGAGACTGGCTCAGCCTGTTCCCGAGCAGAATGCCTGCGCAGGTCGGAGTCCGAGGTGGAGACGTCCATCCTGGAACTTCTTCCCTGAGACTCCTGTAGGAGCCGGGTGAATGCACGGCTTTTCCTTCTATGAGTTTGCTTAATCTCCTTTTTATTTCATTGCTCCTGTAACGATGTGATTCTTCGGTTTTGTAACCACCCTAATAAACTCTGTAAGTTCCCCTGACTATGATCTGCTGAAGGCGAGTTAACCTCCCTGACTTCCCAGAAACTGAACCAGAGAGGGATCTTGGCCAGGCGTGCTCTGCGCTCCCCACCTGCCTCTTGGTCAAGTTCAACTCTTTCAAGTCAGGGCCTTGTCCATCTGTTCACAGCAGTGTCCCCCAAATCTGCCTGGTGCCTGGCACATAGAAGGTGCTTAACAAATTTTTGTTGCCTGAATAAATGAAGGAAGGAATGAATGAAAAAATAAAAGGCTAACCAGCCTATAACCCTAGAAAAAGGACACGTAATCTTTTCGGCAGCTGCCCTTGAAACTCGTCCCTGGGGTAGTGGTCCAATGAAAATTTGATAGTTCAAATGCCATGAGAGCATGTATAGATTTTGAGATGCTTTAAAAAAACCGTATCTTAAATATATATGCTACTGAGCAATGGGCTTGCTCTGCTCACTGCGATCTGAGGCAATTACTCACAAGGAGTTCGAGATCAAGAAAGGAAGTTTAATTAGATTAGATTAGCTGGCAAATCGGAAGATGGATGACTAATGTCTGAAAAACCCATCTTCAAGGATTAAACCATGAAGATTCAAGAATCTTGAGGCAGTTATGTAGGGAAAATGGGCAGTAAGGAGGGGTGTTAGCAGTGTACATTGTGGACTCCAGGATCTCTCATTGTTCTTTTCCTCTGTCGATGATGATGAATACTCTACAGATGTTCTTTCTTCCTGGAGGCCTTCTTGTTCCCTGGGAAAATTCATTAAAATTGTTAAGAACAAAGCTATCAGGGTGCCTCAGCAGGCGTATGTGCACAGGATCAGGGCCAGGGAATCATGAAAGAGCGTAGCAATTTATAATGATCACATGCTAGAAAGATTTCAGCTAGGAAAGGGTTACTTAGTGTGACAAGATGGCTTCACTTATGTCCACTTACAAGACGGTCTTACTTATGTTCACTTACATATATATTTCTAACCTTCAGGGAAATCATATTCTTTAACCCCAAAGGGGTAAATGTATACTTTTGTCACCAAATACTTAGACATAAGGTGTGTTTGCATTTGGTGTGTCCACTAGATGCACAGACAAATGAGCTGTCAGACATCTGCTCGCTAGACAAATGAGCTGGTGTTTGTGGTCTGAAGCCATTGACTTTATTTTCAGGAGAAAGAGTGTTGTTCCTTGCAAAGCTGTGTCTGTGTCTGGGCAGAGTGGTCCACCATGGCTGGCCTCCCCAAAGGTGACGTCAAATCTGTGATTCATCGTGTTCTTCTGAAACGGGCATTGTCCTAGGGACAAGATTCGCCCATGGTCGTTAGGGGCAGTGGACAGGATACGTGGGAACAGTGCGCGTGCAAGTTGTACATCTGTTCTGCCTTCTCGTCCTGCCTCCCGGCTGTGAGTTTCTGGGCTCCAGAGAGCTGTCTCCTCACCCAACCAGGCTGTTTGTGCCCTTGTGTTCTGGCCTGCGCTGTGCCTTCTGCCAGAAATGCCTCTGCCCGCCTCAACTCCCCCTACTCCTACCCCACAATCTCCAGAGATCCTTGCTATTCCAAGTCTGGTCCCAGCACAGCCATCACTGGGGGCGGTGCAGGGACACAGGCCCACCCAAGACCTGATGAATAAAAATCTGCTTCGTAACAACATCTCCAGGTGATTCATAAGCCCCTGAAAGTGTGAAGCACTGTAGACAACTCATACTCATCCTTCAGGACTCAACTCAGGGGCCACCTCCTCCAGAGAGCCCTCCCTGACCTCCTAGCCACCCCAGCCTGCTGCAGGGACAGTCAGAGGGGGCATGGCACGAGCAATGGGTATATACGCCACGTTCACGAGCACTTCTGCTCTGTGGGTCTTTCTCTTCCACTGGACATGCACGCTGCTGGAGTCAACTCATTGTCCATCTTGATATCCCCCACGGATCATCATATCAGCTCAGTGGTGAGTGGACCACCCTGGGGAATCCTTGCCCTGCACTCGGCCCCTCCTAGACCTGCCCTGGAGTCCCTGTGGTGGGAGCACGAGCGCCTGCAGGTGTGGCAGGAACCACGTGGGAGTGCAAGTGGACACGTGTGATCCACGCTCTGTTCCCCAGGAAAGTGGGCTGTCACCGGGTGTAATACATCCACGCCTTGCTGATGTCTTCGGATTCCCTGCAGAGATTTTACCAAGGTTTACCTAAACTAGTGCAGACAATACACACTTATTGGAAAAGGCCTGAGTCGTCTCCATTCCTCTTCTCGGACCCCCCAATCCAGGCTCGTGTGTCCTCCTTCATCTCGGTGACGACCACCCCAGTGCCAGCCCCCCTGCTCCATGCAGACCCCTGTGAGACCCTCCCCAAATCCTGCCCTTTCCCCACACTCCACCCCCCCACAGCCGCAGATCTGTGTGGAATACACGTCATAGCACGTCCCCGGCCACCAGCCCTCCCCCTCCAGGTCTGCACCCTCCGGCGGGGTCACCGCACTGGACACACAGCTGTGCAGCCGCTGAGCCCTGCCCCTCCCTCCCCCGGTCATCTCTGCCCGTTTCCCTGCCCCAGCGCCCGGATCCCAGGCCTTTATGCTTCCTCTTCTCTCTCCTGGAACATTCTGCCCCCTGACCTCCCAGGTAACTCTTCTTACTTTAATCTCGGGGTCCATGTCCCCTCCTGGGTGTTGCCCCGTCACCGGTTACCCATCGCCCTATTGGAACTGTCCGCAGAGCAGGTATTGCCCTCCTTGTCTCTTTGTTCCCTGTGCTCTGACCTTGCCCTCACTGGATGTAAGCTCTGGGGTCCGCGGCCGCAGCGGGGGTTTGTCCATCCTGCATCCCAAACCCTGGAACAGTGCGCAGACCTCGGAGAAGCTCCACAGGTCGTCACTACATAATGGACGTGAATGAAGACAATGGAGCGCCCACGCACTTCGGCTCAGACAGAGTCAAGTCCGCTGGTCCTTTCCCGCAGTCCTTCTGGGCCCTTTTCCCGCCTGCTCTGTGCCGGGGTCGCGCTGCCCCGCCTGCACCACCCAGGCCTCTGGGGGGCTGCCCATGCTCCTGCAGGAAACGGGAGGACAGGACAGCGGGCGCGGGCAGTTTCCCCTGTTCCCGGGACAGCCCCTCGCTGGACCCTGACGGACAACACCACTTCCCCTCCTCCCTCCAGCCCCGGGCTGGGAACAACTCCCCCTGTGGGTAGCACTGGGAGCGCCCACCCTTGGTCCTTCCCTCCCCCCTGTCATGGCCGGGGAAGCGCTTCATCTCCGGAAGGGAAGCGCGTCTCGTTGGAATCCTTCTGAGACGCCAGGCAGCTCTCCTCCCCTGCGCCTGTGATTTAGGAAGCTTTTTCTGTGTATCAGTTATATGCACACAAGTTTTCTTTTCATTTACTTATTTATTTAAAAATATCTTTTAAGATTTGCGACCCTATTTTTACATTTTCCTCAGGTACTCCCAACACAACTAAAGGTGGCTTTAATCTGCATTGAGGTGTGTGTGAGAGAGAGTATGTGTGTGTGTGTGTGTTTGCCATCAAGAGAAAACTTTTTTATTTTGACTGCATAAAATTTAGAAATATTAAACAACAAACAGTATCTTAAACAAAAGAACAAAGATTAAGAAAAAATACAAAGCAAGAAAGAAGTGGTTGCAAAATCTTAAGTTTTCTAAACTATGAATTTAGGATCAAACTAATAAAAATCTTGTGTAGTTTGAATAGGGCGTTGCTTTGTTTGGGTTTTTTTTGTGTTGTTTTTAAAACCAGCCAAAATTAATTCAGGTAAATATTAAGCTACTTCTACAGACTTGCATTAATGCCATAGCATACAGAAATGGTCTGTATTGTTTTAGATGTCTTTATCCTCGTCGGACTTAGAGGATGGTTTAAGTAATAGCAGACATTTAATTTAAATCAAAATGTGATACACACAGTCTATAATTCTAAAAGGTCTGAGGGGGAAATGATGTATTCACGAGAGTTATATTAACAAATCTGTATTTAAATAATACTCCCGTAAAGTCGCAATGCTCTGCTAACGAGAGGAATTGTGGCATCAGTCTAGCAACAGCAGCTTAACGAACAAGAGATCAGCCAACAGAACTCTAACAGAAACCCGTGCAGGTGGTCTGCGTGGTTGCAGGGGTTCAGGACCCAGCTGCAGTGAGCCGAGTCAAAGCCACAGGTGACCCCAGATCTCTGCGCGCTCACGGCAGGACCCTCCTCCTTGCTGGGGGCCCTCATGACCCCGGGGATCCCCCCACCCCTCCAGGCCTCTGGGGGCTGCAGATGGAGCAGCTGGAGACAAAGAGCCACTTGGGAAAGCCCGAGACGTGGACTCGACCTTGGGCAGCATTTGCCTGGTGCGGTCATTTTCTCTTCTTAGCTCCTTGAGCTCTCTAGGTCAACACGGCTGCCATCCAGCTTTCCTGAGCTCTTTTCCACCAGAAGAGGATCTCCTTGCGGGTGGAGGCAGTGTTTCTCTCCACTTCTCTGTGCGTGTCTTCCTCCATCTGCTTGTAGAGGTTGCAGGTCTGACAGGTGGAGGTCATGTTTCTATACACACCAGGGAGAGTCTTCTCAATTTCTAAGCAGCAAGTTTCCACCTCAAACAATTTTTTTCTGAAGTTGCTTTGAATGATCTTCATGGAATTTAGGCAGATTTTGAAGCTTCAGCTTCAGCAACTGAATCTCACTTTCAAGCTTTGAATTTTCATGCTGCAAAGATGCTTCCTCGGTTTCAAGACTCGCTGTTCCTTCCATAAGCTCTACATTCATTTGCTCCTCTTCCCTCAGTTGTCTGGCTGTTCCTTGACGTTGCTCTTCAGGACTCTGAAGGGGCACATCGAAGTCAGCATCATCAGTGGTTCCCTTCACACCAACTGCTGACGCACGGATGGATTGATCTCCAGTTCTGCTTCCGTCTTCTGCTCCATATCCGAGTTCCTGCCATCCACACGGTCTCCCAGGAGATCCGGCGAGAGGATGCTCTCCCGCAGGCTTTCAGCCACGGCCTGTAGTCGGCTGAGTTGGTCTTTCAGGGCCTGCTTCCTTTGTGCGTTCGACCTTTCCCACCTTTCTTTCTCCTTCTCCTTTTCTTGGACTCTCTGCTTCCATCTCAGAATTCCTTGTTCAAGCAGTTCCACTCTTTCTGGAAAATGAGTGTTTTCATTCAAATCATCCGTTGTTTTCTTATGAAATTGTCCTGCGTCCTTCTCTGATGCTTTTAAGGTGGGTCTTTCGTCAGTCACTCGGGAAGGTTTAGGAGGCTGGCTCTTCTGTAGTTCTTCCAGAAGGTGGACAGCGGCCTGAAGTGACCACTTGCTCAGGTCTGTATTTATTGCTGATGTGCACAAGACTTGTAACGAGAGAGCACTGGCCTTCATCCCAGGCGGCCTGTGGGTGTCACAGGCTCCTGTCGTTGCAGAACATCTTTTGCCCAGTGCCTTCACACTCCGTAAAGCGTGTCGTCTCTGTACTATCAGCACCGGCACCACGGTACCCACCAGGGTCTCCCAGGGGAATGCAGGGAGAGCCAGGATGTGTCTCACACTTCCAGAAATCCCCTGCAGAGCCCCCCACAGGCGCCCCAGAATCAGCTGGACAGCAGATGCCCTGGCAGGCAGCAGGCCCCCCATAGCTGGGGAGGGCTCCACTGCTCTGCCTCCGAGTACCAGTGTCCTGTGGCCACAACTGACCACTCAGAACCCTGTGGAGTGCTCCATCTTTAAGGTGAACAGGCGCCCGGTAACCAGGGCTGGTTAGTTGAGCTGGGGGAGGGTAGACCAGCAGGTTCTAGCAAACAGATTCCTAACTTAGCTCTGAAAGTAGAAATTGATCTCGCTTGTCCAGACACTGAAGGAGGTGGACAGGGCTGATGGTGGAGAGAAACATAGTAACTTAATGAAGAGATCCATAGTGTGTACCCTCTTAATCCACTGATAAAAGTTGACAGAAATAATATTGGGACAGGCCAACATCACATGCCTCCTGATATGATGCACAGAAAAAAACACAGCATCATTTCTGTGGTTTTCCTGCCAAACATGCATAACTGGAATCTAATGATGAAGAAATACCACACAAACCTGGAGTGAGGGACATTCTACACAGCTACTGCCCCCTGTGCTTCAAAACTATGAAGGTCATGAAAGATAAGAAAGGGAGAGGAATTGTTTCAGAGCCAAGGAGACTCAGGGGACATGACAACGAACTGCGACACATGATCGTGGAATAGATCCTGGGCCAGAGGGAAAATTAGTTAGAGATGACAGTATGTGAAAAATTGACAAAGTTTGAATATGGACAATGGATTAGATAAGCATCGTGTCAACGTTAAATTCCAATTTCCGTCATTGTACTATGGTCAGGAAATACTAAAATGTTTAGGGAGTCAAAGGGCTTTATGGTTTCAACTTTGTTAAAATAAAGAGTTTTACCAATAATTTCTCAACCGTATCCATTTCCTCCCATTGTAGTCAAGCTGTGGTTCAGGCTAGGTCCTTCCTCTTTCTGGCCGTTGTAATGTCTGAACTAGCTCAGTGCTTGAACAGCTTCTGGCCCTTGAGGTCCCCCATAGGTTTCTGTGAAAAACTCTGTCTCTACATTTCCCAAATCTGGTGGCTTAAAACAACAGAAATTTATTCTCTTATAATTCTGTAGGCCAGAACTCCAAAATCAAGGCAACAGATGGCCATGCTCCCTTCGAAGGCTCTAGGGAGGGCTGCTTCCTTGCCCTCTCCCAGCCTCTGGTGGCTCCCAGCACTCCTTGGCTCGTAGCTGCATCATGCCAGTCTCTGCCTCCATCTTCACAAGGCTTCTCTATGTCTCTGTGTGCTGTCTCCTCTTCAAGGATACCAGTCACTGGATTTAGGACCAATGCTAATCCAGTATGATCTCATCTCAGTTCTTAATTAATTACATCTGCAAAGACCCTGTTCCCAAACAAGATCATCTTCTTATTTGGTTTCCAATGGACATGAACTTTTGGGGGACACTATTCAACCCATTACACTGGGTTTTGCTGTCTCAATTCCTGTGGAGTCTCTGGGCGACTTGAAAATCCCCAACTTAGTCTTGTCTCGTCTTGATTCGAGATTTTACCTGGGCAGAGGGCTCTTTTCCTCTACCCACCTCTCACAGCCCCTCCTTGAATCCCCTCCCTCCTTCAACTTCCTTTTTCTCTATTCCACAGCCCACAGAGATGGGAATGCCCCTCCTATAGCCAGCCCTGGTCCCTAAGACCCAGGCATATTAAATATACCATGTGTCTCATGTGGATTCTACACAGGATTCTGAAAAATGAAAACTTTGCGTAGCTCTATTTTTCCAGGCTATGGTATGGCCATAAAGGATAAGTCGGGGTGCCTGTTCCCAGGTTCTCTGTTTCTTGTGGAGGACTATGGCTTGTCGAGTAACTCAGAACCACTGAATTTTTCTGTTCAACGTCATTCTAGTTATTTTTGGATCCAAGATAAAGAAAAGTTAATTACTTGCATATTCGATCAACTGAAAAAGTCCAGACTGTATATTTTGAGTCTCGATCAATTAGGACTACTTGTCTACAGGAACCAAATTAATGATTTCCTTCACTTTCAAGTTGTGTGGAAGAAATTCTGGCTGCCTTTCTCGTTGTACCTACGCAAAGGCCAGACTTTATAAAAATAACAGTGATGATGATGATAACTCTGGTACTTGGTAATCAACAAGTCTCTGTTCCAGGCTTTGTCTCAGGAGAACTTTGCAACATGAGGTGTGGATGGGGCCATCCTTACATACAGATGAGGAAAAGATCCTACTATTTGATTTTTGGACTGGTCCTATATGAGCATAGTCTGGGCACAGGTATGACCAATTCGTTCATACCCTGTTACTATGGCAGTGCTGACATCACAGCAAACTTCAGGCCGGTGTGCAAACACTCTGATCTGGCCGTGTTGGGATGGGGTGGGCATGTGGTGGTATGATCAGTGCTCAGCAAGAGAAGAGGTGGCCTGTCCTCTGAGTTTTCAGGTCTGACCATACTTTGCCTCCTGGAAACTCACCTCCCTTTTTGTTCTTGGATTCACTGCCTCCAAATGGGAGGAAATCCTCATCTCTCTCATCGTACCACTGTAAAGAATTGTTGAAGACGATCGTCCTAAAAGTATTTTGGGAGAGAAAATGTTAAGCAAAGACAACCGAAGCCTTGCTCACAAATCTCAATAAGAAAGCCTGTTTCTAGTTAACAAGATCCCTAACTAGAAGGATTAAACAGATCTTCTACAAGTGTGCATTACTTAATTTCATCACAAACTCAAAGCCAGCATTTCAATGTCTGGTCCTGTACCAACATCTGAAATACCTTTTTCCTTAATCCCCATCATCCAAGAATAAATACTCTTGGATGAAATGAAAGAATAAACACTCTTAATGAAAGTCTCAAGAGGAGGTAAAAAGGAATTTGTGTTTCCAGTTGATTTCAACCATCTCTCCTAAAGTAGGGGGCTGACCCTGGTGGGACTTTCCTCATAACACCTCAGTCAAATATGGCCACTGCCACTGCTTCTAGCAAGTTCCCTGGATGAGAGACCTGGCACCCGGGATGAGGAATGGGCGTCAGAATTTGGTGGGGGGGAGGGGGGGGTTACAATTTAGTAACTATTCTTTACTCTTTAGGGGAGCTCACATTTTAAACCTTGCCAAGAAAGACACACCCTTGAATGCCACAGTCCTGTCCCACAGTGTAGAAAGCTTAAAAGGGATCAAATACTTTGTTATTTTGAAATACTAGAGCAAATATATCTGAGACTATCTAAAAAAGCTCCTTGGAATTAACATCAATTACTCACTATATGATGAAAGAGTCATGCATACATGAAGGTCCTTTTAGCTAGAGGAGTGTTTGCAGGGAATAATGCAAACAGAATTTGAGAGCCAGATTAAGGAGGAACATAATAACAGATCTCAAGATGGGAAATGGTGTTCCCTTGGCAATAGGACTTGTTGACCCTGAAAAGCTCTGTTTATGGTTTTGCCAGAAGCTTATAACATCAGGTAGAAAATAGATTTATAAATGTAATTAAGTAAAGTAAACAGAAAACTGCATGGAAAATTTGGCAGTGAATTATATATTTTTCCTGATTACACAAGTAATACACATGTTCTTTGTGGAAAATATGAAAAATAAAAATATGACATGTAGAAGAAAATAAAAATCACCCAATTCTACCATCAAAGGTAAACATTTTATGATGTATATATACCATTTCCTTTTCTATAAAATAGTTTTCAGGCTTTATTCATTTTTGTCCTGTGCTTTTCCACTTAATGCAATCATATTTTTATATTGTAGCATCTGAGTGGCAGTCCACTCTAAAACATATCCATCTTTGTTTAATATAAAATATGTGATATATAAATATAAAATGTAAAATTTATTATAGCTAAATAAATATAATATACATAATACAAAATAAAACACAAAATTGTAACATATGTAAACACTATAAAAATAAAATAAATATACTTAGCGCTACATAAATGAAAACTGCTATTTTCCTGTACTCTTTGAAATTTTAGTTTTATACCATTTAAACACTCTGCTTACCTCATGCCTAAGAATTTCGTTGCCCAATTTTAGATAACTTTAAAATACTCTGTGCCACTCTAAAAAACTCAGTGATAATTCATATATCGCACCCCCCCACCCCACCCGCCCCACACGCATGGAAGAATTAGTGTCTATTTAGGGACTTCCTGGCCAAAATTTCAAGGCTTGAAGCAAGTGGATTTCCTCAAGAAAAAGGAATCTCCAGCCCAACTCTAGAGTTTTTCTGAGGTGTTCCTTCAGCAGACATAAATGTATCAATTTATAGGAGAAAAACTCACTGGGTTCCAGTTTTTCACTTCAAAATTCTCTCCACTAAATTTCGTGCACAGGTTGGGCATCTGTTGCTGCTTGCTGGCTTGTGAAAAAATGAGTCACCATGTGGCAAAAGATGAGCCATAGAACCGTTCAGAAATAGTCACTCGTGCTTGACATGGCACGTTGCTTTCCATGTGTTCTCCTAGTGGTTACTTTATATTGCGTATAATAAAGTCCCTTTTTCTCTGGGCACAGGGACGGTGTTTCTAAGTGGAATTAAATGCATCAGTACTTCATAGCTCATTTCACAGAGCGTCATGATTCCCCACCGTGCCTCCTGACCTAGACTAACAACCACGGTCATAGGGGACCATCCTGTAGACTTGGGCATTGGAAAGAAACATGGACTGCAAGAGAAACAACTGTCCTACCCAATAGCTTACCATATATTGGAGAAATGAGCCCAGTCAAGGACCTGTTTGAGGAGGCATCTCTGCCATCCAACTCACCAAACCTCACCTTCCACAGTTAGATCTTCATTCCTTTGGCTTTAGCCTGCAGAGGTTGTATTGCTTCCAAAACTGCGGATATCACAGAGGTGAAGCTGTGTGCTTTAATTAGTTATTTGCAACAGTGTTTCTCAAAGAGGTTGATCCGGTCGCCTGTATCTGTATCTAGGGGAGGGGAGGGGACGAAGGGAGGATGAATAATTGGAGATTTCTAAGTCCCACTCCCAAAGACTCTGATTCTGTAGCTCAGTGGAGGGCTCTGGGAATCCGAATTTTAGCAAAGCTTCCAAGAGATTCCTATGAACATTAGAATTTGAGAACCAATAATTTATGCCCTGAAATGAATGCAATTATGAATCCTTTCTTGAGAGCGGAGGAGATACTTATGATCTTTGGGGGCAATTCAGTGACCATCATTAAAGGATGCAAGGGGAGTCTGGACAGGGCTCTGAACAAGTCCTGCTTCTCCTGGAGTTGTCATCTATTAAGTGCTTTCTCAGACAGAGTATAATAATTGTGAGTCAAATTGCACCAGGTTTCTGGTTAATGTGGCTTTTATTAAATGTTTCTTAATAAGTTGTGTCATTGTCTCTGAATTTAGAAACAAATTATATTCATGTCTTTGGCGGGATATTTAGACCTCACCTCTAGGTCTTGCTCAAGAAAAGGTTAAAATTCGAATAGGGAATGATCAAAGACTTCACATTTCCCGTAGAATAATTGTCACCCAAAAGAATGATGACAGTGACAACAAGAAGCATCCTTAGGATGCCATGATGTAAATTTTTAAAAATTTTTGTACAAAAAATTGTATTATCTACTTGTCACCTCAGAGGAAACTGAAAAGAATATGATTATGAGCCCTCAAGAGGAGGAGGAATTTCCCACTTTTCATAAGGTACCTGACCTACTTCCTGTGATCGTCACTGTTCACATCCAGAAATACCCAACAGTCTTCAAAGTCTCTCCTAGCTGGACCAGTTGATCAAGCCATCGGCTTCTTCAAATCACGTCTATACTGGCGCCATGATGGAGCTCCTCTGGCCCTGCAGGGTCACAGATCAACCTTCTGGTAGTGCGGGGAAGGGTGGGTGTCCCCTCTGCTCCAGGGCATTGCTGGAGCAGATTTGGCAGCAAGACACTCAGCACCAGAGATAAAGCTTAGGAATCCAATATGCGACCACGTGCTTCCTGTTGTCTAAATATTAGGAAACACTACCCCAAATCAGTGGGCTTGGATGTGTGCTCAAGGGCACAAATCAAAATGTGATGCTCTCCACTCTGGGTGAGCTCTCTCCACTTGAAACCCTCTTAGGTTTACTGGAAAGACTCATTCCCAGGAAGTCGTGCCTATTTATTCTGCTTATTAAGCAGCGTAAGACACCTTATCCAGCCTCTGTGTGTGTGTGTGTGTGTGCATGCGTGCACATGCATACACATGTTGATGGGAGGAGGCAACCCTGGGTACAACCTGAATTGATCTGGAAACAATGTTTAGCCAGGAAGCCAGACAACCTGAGTCTTAGAAACGATCAAAACTTCAGCAATAATTAGGAAACTACCAAGCACCGAGCCCTCTTGTGTCAGAGCTAGACGACAGGGGACCTAAGCTGGACAGGCAGACCAAAGGGACACGGATGTGAACAATCACTGTGTGTGCTGGCACTACCCTACGAAGTGCTCAGAGTCAAGACAGGGTGGCAAAGTATGTTCTACAGAGCCAGGCAACAAGTCTGGGTCAGGAGTGCGGAATCTGCACTAAACAGCATCAGAAGCCCATGGCGTTGGAGCGTAAAGCTGGAGCGATGGTGAAATGAGAGGGACCTGGCAGTCACCACGAGTGAGCCTCATGCCCAGTGGGTTCCAGCTTTGCCCTTGTCCTGCAGCAAAATGTCCAGCCCTTTGCCGCCATCAGTTATGAATCGAAGCCATTCCTGCAGGATTAAGGTGTCTTGGAAAGGGCTGAGCCCTTGTGGTCAGAGGCTCTGAGGTCCACCCCAGCTCAGCTGCACTCTGTCGATGTAATCTTGAGGTAATCACATGACTGCTGAGTTTCCCTTTCCTAATCTGAAACCCAGGGGTAATAACGTCTCCCCCACAGGAGGTGAATGGCTCTCTCGGGTGGCAGCGCTCTGCACACGTTAAGCATGTAATTCATTTTTCCTGAAGTGGGTTAAGCTTTTATGTGTTGAGCTTTGAGGTGACCTATAATCATGTACCATTAAAAAGCCGGGAGGTGTGGGCATTGTGCTCTTGTGTGTGTCTTGAACATTTCTCGACTTTGTAAACACCCTGACAATTTCACATTCCATACTGCATATGGACGATTTTCTCTTTCTGCTGAATGTTAATGCTTTTTTATTTTTCTGATTATAAAAATAATATTATAGAAAAACTGGGAAAATGCAGAATCTTCTAAAGAAGCTTCACTGAAATCATCTACCTAGTGAAAATCACCATTTATATTACAATATATTTCCTTTCAATGTATATATAATTTATTTCCTTAATAATTTTCTAAGAGGAGTTTTCTGGAGATGCGGTTAGTTTCAGGAGTGGTTTGAAGTCTTTGGGCAGTAATCCCACACCGTCTTTAGAAATATTGTACCAATTTATAGACCTGCGATGACTGAGGGAGAGTTCAATTTTTATCATCTTTTCCTTAACATTAAATATGTTCTTTAAATCTTTGATATCTTTGATAGGTAAAAATTATAGCATAGTTTTTCTTATTTACATTCTTTTGAGTTTTAGGAAAGTGGAATATCTGTGTATTTTGGTAATTGGCACTTTTTTTCCTGAATTGTTTATTCATGTTCTCTTACTTTTCTTTTCTTTTCTTTTTTTTTTTTTTTTTTTAAAGATTGGCACCTGAGCTAACAACTGTTGCCAATCTTTTTTTTTTTATTGCTTTTTCTCTCCAAATCCCCCCAGCACATAGTTGTATATTTTAGTTGTAGGTCCCTCTAGTTGTGGCATGTGGGACGCCATCTCAACATGGCCTGATGAGCGGTGCCACGTCTGCACCCAGGATCTGAAGCAGCAAAACCCTGGGCTGCTGAAACAGAGCGCGGGAACTTAACCCCTCGGCCACAGGGCCGGCCCCTCATGTTCTCTGATTTTTCTATTCATGATTTGTATAAGCTCTTAATCATGATATTTTCAACTGTCTCATATATAATACAAATATTTTCTTTGGTTCATTTAAAAATTTGGTTTGGGATTATATCTATGTTGCATAACAAATTCCCCTAAAACGTAATGACTTAAAACAACAAACACTTAGTATTTCGCAAGTTGTGTGGGTCAGAAATTGCAGAACAGCTTAGCTATGTACTTCTAGCTGAAGTCTCTCATGAAGCTGCAGTCAAGATGTTGACTGGGGGGCCTGGCCAGTTCCTGAACAGTTCAGGAGTTATCAAGACAATTTGGAAGAGGAAGGGGGAGACAGAGAGGAACAGAGACAAAAATGGGAGGGGCGTTCATATTCACTCTATCAGGTGTTAAGTAAACTCTTACAAATCAACTAAAGGAGAACAAATAAGTGATAACATTTGTCAAACAGTCACAGGTAAACCACAGATGAGACAACTTGACAAGTTGAACAACCCGGGAAACTCTTGTCCACTTTTCAAGATTGTTTAAAATAACAGCTTTATTGAACTTTATTCATATATCATAAAATTCTTCTTTTTAAAGCAAACACTTCATCCCCACTAGTTAATTTCAGGATATTTTCATCACTTCCCCCCAAAACCCCATACCCGTTAGCAGTCACTCCACGTTCCTCCCTCCCCTCTCCCCTTAGAAAACCTTAATATACTTAATTAGAAAAACTTAATATACTTTGTATTTCTATGGGTTAGCTTATTCTGGACATTTCATATAAATAGAATCATACCATATGTAGCTTTTTGTGACCAGCTTCTTTCACAGAGGATAATGTTTTCAAAATTCATCCATATTGTGTTTTAGAGCAATACTTCACTCATTTTTAAGCCTGCATAATATTCCATTGTGTGGATACACCACATTGTGTTTATCTATTCATCAGTTGATAGACATTTAGGTTGTTTCCCCTTCTTGGCTATTATGAATAGTGTTGCTGTGAACACTCATGCACAAGTTTTTGTGGACATGTATTTTCCTTTCCCTTGGGTATTTACTTAGAATTGGAATTGCTGGATTACGCATAAATGTTAAACTCCACTTTTAACATTTTGAGAAACTACCAAACTGTTTTCTAAAGTAGTTTCACCATTTTACAATTATCCCAGCAATGTGTGAGGGTTCCAATTTCTCCACATCCTCACCAACACTTATTATTGCCTGCCTTACAGGGCGAGTGACGTCTCATCGTGGTTTCTATTCGGTTTCCCTAACAGCTAATGAAGTTGTGTGTGTTTTCACGTGCTTTTGGCCATTTGTATGTCTTCTTGGCAGAAATATCTATTCAAATCCCTTCTCCATTTTCCAACTGAATTATTTATCTTTTACTGTTGAATTGGAAGAGTTCTTTATATAGTCTGGACACAAGTTAATCTTTTCAAACTTTAGTGGAACAATTGAAATAATAGTGAGATGTTTCCT